ATATATAGTACAGTACCAGTGATTGAACTCTGGACCTTGCACTTGCAAGGCAGGTGGTGGAACCACTGAGCTAAATCCTCAGCCCAAAGATTTCTTAAAAATACCAGTGGACTACAAAAATCCAACATCTGCTGGATGATGCAAAGAAAAATATCATAACATTGATCAGAGTCAATGAAAAATCAGGAGATAGCTCAAATGACATAGAAATCCAAATCACAGAAGTAATGGCAGAAAACTTCCCAAGCATGGAAATAGAATTTGATATACAGATAAGTGAGGCATATAGAACTCCAATTACCCATGATTAAAAAAAATTAATAAAAAAACAGCCCAAGACATATGTCAGGATTCAAAAAACTCAACACAAGAACAGAATATTAAAAACTATTAGAGAAAAGAAGCAAATCACTCATAAAGGAAAGCTTATCAGAATTATAGCAGACTTCTCAACACAAACCCTTAAGTCAGGGAGATTGGAGTGAAGTATTTCAAGCCCTAAAAGAAAACAATCTTCAACTCAGATGTACCCAGCAAAACTGTCTTTCAAAATGAATAGAAAAATATGATACTTCCATGACAAACACCTGAACAAATTTGTGACCACCAAAATGTTCTGAAGGACATGCTAAAAAGAGATAACAAAGACTCCAACTCCATGAACTCCAACAGAATGAATTCACCAGGTAGTGCAGGCAATTAAATGGGGGAAAGAAAGGAAACCAACAGGAAAAATGACATGATAACATGACAAGGATAAGTTATCAGCTGTACCCATCAATGTAAATGGTTTCATTCCTCTTCTTTAGACAAAAGGGTTAAATTCCATGAGCTCTGAAGACCCTTTTGCCCTCTGAAATCTTTTTTGAAAGTTGGTGTGATCTTATATAATAGTTTCTTAGCCTTAGGATTGATTGCCAACCTTAGGATTCCCTGTGCCATCTTCCATGCCTGACAGTGTACAGAGGCCAGTGACACAGGTGATGAAAAGAGTTTACCATAAACAAGGAATACAGGAAAACACAGTTAATTTGGATCACAAAGTATGCTGTCAAGCGGGATAGCCATCAAGTTTCCAGGAGGAATTACATGGTTGGGAGTGGTTGGGGTTTTTATAAGGGAAAAAAGACATGGGAAAGGGTCTCAGTTGGCAAATGCAGTTCTTTAGAAATGCATTTTCCAGGGGATGCTGTTTTGTGTTAATCTTTCATGAACACCTATAATGGTTGTGCATTGAAGTATCAAATTGTCAAGGCCTCTCACTTAGGCCTCAAAAGGCTCTTTGGATTTAGACAAGAGTATCTGTATGTTTTAACCTTTGGGGAAAAGATATAACATTAGATTAGAGGAGGAAAGGATGATTTTTGTATTTACTTTTATCTTGTGCTATTTTTAGTCCTCATTAGTGTGGTGTTTCCTGCCTGTCCAGTATGTCCTGGGGAAAATTGTATTATCAAAGAAGTTTGGGTGCTAAAAATTGTATCCTTTTGTCACTACACAGTCCTGCTTTTTTTTTTTGTCCTTTATATGAGTACTGAGACGTGCAAACATGTCCAGCTTCGACACCTAAGCAGAGAACTTTCCAACAATATCTAAACAATGAATAAGTACATATCTGGCCATAGTAATAATGTTAGGGGCAAAATCAGCCCTACCTTCTGGAACATCAGGGACAGATAAGCAGTTCAGACTGCTTTTGGCTAATTAATAAGCCCGGTATTTCATCACTATCATTTTTATGAAGATATAATGATTATTCAGTATAAACACATATAATCTAAAATTAGCTCTCACTCTTCCGTTTTTTAAAAACTTTCCCTTGTCTAGTATCTCTAACATTGTAGATAGAGGAATTTAAATCTCAACAAAGGCCTGGAGTAGATGGGGCTGGGATGGCCTCTGATGATTGAAAGGTTACAATCCACAGACGTGATTAATAGACATTCAGTCACTTTGATTTTTTCCCCCCTTTGAACATTTGGAGCTGGAGCCAGTCTCATCACCCTAGGGAGTCTGTAGTACAGATGGGGAGACAAAGTAAGGAAATGTGGCTCCATAGTCATTAGCTTACTAGTCTTTATTTTTCAACTTTTGTTTATTTTCTGATAACATGACCGTAATCCCAAGTGTCACTTAACTATACTTCAAAGTGTCAGAAACAGCCAGGTGTTTCATATAGCTTTCAAGCTCCACTAATCTATAGATTAGTGGTTCTTAACCTTGAAATCACCTGGGGATTGTTAACAAATACTGGTACTGTTGCCTCGATGCCACCCCCAGGTGGGTGAGAGCAGTGGATTATACACACACACACATGTGCCTTCACAGCTGAGAGCACCAGCATCAGAGTATGAATCCGCAATTCAACTTTTGAAAAAAACATGCTTTGTTCACTTATGACACTGCCCAAGTGAAATATCTAAGGAACATTCTTTGTTTTTTCTAAGATTTGTAGCTACTGCTATCTAAGGTGTTGGATTTCTGATAATCTGTATAAACCACTGTCAGTAAAAATTAGAGCTCCATGCCCCCATGTGGCTAATTAATGATATTGCACCTTATTGGAACAAAATCAGGTGATTGCTCACCAGACCTTTCCCAGACACACAGGGCCACGTCATTAATAGGACTCAAAATAGTCGAGGAGAGACATCAACCTAGGTGTCTAAATGATTTGTTAATATAGGGTGTGTGAGATTACTTTTAGTCCTATATTGACATTATTATAAATAGGTTGCAACTCCAAGGCAATTGGATGACACCACTTCAGATAAATTGTGTGTTTAAGGTCTGTACATACAAAATGGGAGTCCTTATGTATCCTCAACCCCTCTGAGAGCCCCAGACTTTCATTATCTCAGGATAATGTCAGTACCTTACCACACATCTCCAATTGTGTAGAGAAAGAGTAACAATAAATAATATTAATAACAGTATGATGTGTGGAGCACTTGACATGGGCAGGGCATTGTTCTGTGACCTACACATCTTATTTCATTGGCTCCTTACAGCAATCCCAGGGACAGGTGCTATTACCATTTTACCTTTGAAGGAACAGATGCCTTGTCCAACCTGCAGTGACAGTACTGTTCAACCTTAGTGATAGTGCTAGATTCAAATCCTGATCATCTGAATCTACCAGCACCCATACTACTTCCTGTCCTGCTGTGCATTTCAGTGTCAGTGGGATCTTCAAGTCTTTTGGATAACATTAATCTTGATTTTCCATCTTGTGATAATTCTACAAAGGGACAAAAATATTAAAGACCTTTCCAGGCAAAGGATGGCTCTGTAGAGCATCTTCTTTGAAGCCTGCAGACAGCTCTGAGTTCTCAACAGAACTTCTAATAGGAGGCTCATTTTATGTCACCTGCTCTCTCAAGAGCCAACTGGGCCCCGGAAGTGCCTGATCTCCACTTCTGGGAGACCCAAAGCAAGTGTATGTCCTTCTCTTGTTCTTACTTTCCTTATCAGCAATAGGCATGGAACTAAAGATTCATCAGTTCTAACATTCTATGGTCCAATTGAAATAGTGCCTAAAACTTGTTTGAGGAGATTTATCCTATTATGAAATTTTCAAATTGCTTAACCACAACAATTTGAGAAATAACACTAGGTATGCAGAAGTAGAAAGGCAAAAATGGGCTAGCTCTTGTGCATTGTGACCTAGCTCTGCCACCATGGCTAGCTTCTTAAGAGAAAGTTTAATTGTAAATTGTGAAGAGTGGTCTCTTCATACTGTTTATATTTGGAGCACTTCACACAAAGCCTAATAGTAGGTTCTCTATAGATGGATAGGAGGAAGGGAAGGGAAGATGGATGGATGGACACAGAAAAGTCGGGAAAGATGGATGGGTGAGAGATAGTTGATGAGATAGATAGATGGAATTGTATCAGTTGTGTATTTCATGGTGAAAAATGAAGCCTTATGCAACTTTGGCTGTGCTGACTCTAGAAAATGTTGGGTTCCTGCATGGAAAGGTAACACAGGCTCCAGGTTCACTAGGTTTGTTGTACCTAAGTACAGTTTAATGACATCCATCTCTTCCAGCCTGGTCATTCATCCATTCCAGTGAAATGGAGACTGGTGGGTAATGTCATCTTCTGACCCTCTCTGTTCTTCTTGGTCATGCTTTTCATAACACTTCTGTCTTTCTAGCCCTAACCCTATCTCCACTTCTTGGCCCCATACAACCCAGGTGTGCTATCCATTGAGACAGAGATGGTCAGAAGTGATGAAGTCAGCTTTGTGAGTCCCATTGCCTGAGCTTGGGGATATTTGTAGATATGAACATTGGCCTTTTGAGGGCACAATAAATAATGTCAGATTTCTAGAGCCTGTCTTCTGATAAAAGCACCATGGTTCTTGTTTCCACACATGAAAGGCACTGATAAAAGGGATGTTGGTCACACTTTTTTTACACATTTGGGATGCTTAAATAGGAACAGCTGAGCCCAAAGAGAGGCTGGAGTCTCTCACCTCTCTTCCCTGACCCGGCATTCTGGTAGGGACTTGAGGAGTATAACATCCTTAACATCTAATTTCTCCCATATTCTGCCCTGCCACAGGACAGCTCTTCCTGATGCATTTGCTCTGGGTCTGAGTTTCCTGCAGCTTTCTAGACAAAACTCACTCTCCTCCTTTCCCAGGGCACGAGGAGAAGGCTGAGAACATGGGGAAAGCTGGGACTTGCTGTGCCACATGTAAGGAATTCCACCAGATGAAGCAGACAGTGCTGCAGCTGAAACAGAAGGTACTGCCAAGCATGTGCGAGCAGTGATGGGTAATGAAAGGAGGATTTGGCCGAATGAAGTACAGGGAAGTCTAAGGTCCATATACAAATAAATAACCTGTATGAGCATTCACTTCAGTTAATGACAACTGGGTCTGGACTCAGGATGCTTTCCCACTCCTAAACTGGCCATCTAAAGGGCAACCAAATACAGTGATGGAAAAGACTTGAGGAGGTGATTATCAAAATAGTCCCTAGTAAGAGGCACATAGAGAGGAGTGGTATGACCACCGCACTTTCTTGTGAAATGAATATACAGCCATGTGGAACCCAGAGCAGGCCTACGTGATTTTACTTTATCTGTGTCCTGTCAATAGAGAGCATTCACTCTCTAAATTTCTGTGGACTTAGGACCTTCTTCAGTGGCTTTATTTTTCACATTTAATAATTAAGAGGAAATCAATAAGGAGATGCCTCAAAAAACTAGGATTAGAGGTCCCATTTGGCTCAGCTGACCCTCTGCTGGGTATCTTTCCAAAAGAAATAAAAGAATCATACCACAGTGATATATGTGCACCCATGTTAATAGCAGCACAGTTTGTAATAGCTAAAACTTCGAAACAGCCCAGTTGCCCATCAACTGGAGAATAGATAAAGAAGATGTGGTTTTTCTATAAAATGGAATACTACTCAGCCATAAAGAATGAGAAATTAGAGATGTTTATAGCTAAATGGATGCATATTGAGACCATACTCAAGTGAAATAAATAGGATACACTTGTAAATACAGAATAGTGTCTCTGGTATGAAAAACTAAAAGTGTAAATAACGATCAAAATGTAAAACTTATAATATGAAATAGGAAGAAACGGGCTAAAGGAGTAGGGGAAGTGGGAAGGGCAGGGGAAAGGAAAGAAGGGAAAAGAAAAAAATATGAGAAAATGAAAAAATGGAAACAAAGTCTGTAAATAGGGAGGGGTGGAGGGGGTGAAGGGAGGGAAGGGGTATGGGGAAAAAAATGAGAACCAATATACATCATGTAAAGGTACAAGATGCCAGTGATGAATGTAACTGTACAGTATACCTAAAAAGTACCAATAAACTCATGAAATAAATAAAAATAACAATCTGCACTTTGGGCTAGGTGCATGTAGGGAAGCAGCTATGTGGGTACCTTGTGTCACCAAGGGTGAGGACTGACTTGCTCTATGAAAGGCTCCTGGGTGCCTGATGGAATGCCAGGCCTTGAGTCACACAGTCATGCTGTGAGTAAGGACCCTGTGATAGATCTGGTAACCTAATTTTTTAAGTGACTGTCTTGGACCTAGATAGCTTGTCTTTATATACCTGAGGTCAGTCCATTTGTTAGCCTGTCAGCAACTCTGGAATTTCTCTTACACTGATGAAGCATAAACTTGATGGTTTGTTTATTTAATTGCTTCAACTCAAGTCTCTTAGTAGATCAAAGAGTTGTATATAATCTGTTTAACTTTGGTGACCAGTTCTTCTAAAAGGCAAAAGGGTAAACAGACAAAAATCTCTTTTCCACATCCAATAGACTAGCTGCTGGCCCCTAATGAGAACCACAGCTACCTGTTAAACAAGCAAATCAACAGTCTGAGAAGAAAAGTGTCTTTGTAGGCCTCTTATGCTTCGTTAGACATGATCAACTTTAGTAGAGACAAATATATAGGTATTGTATAAACATGAGAAGAATATGGATGTGACCCTAAATAGCCTGTGATCTGATTGGGAAACCAGGCAGAAAACTTTGTATTTTATGCCAGTAAAAACACAGGGGGATATAAATAAATATATCCCACATAGAGATCTCTAGGTTAAGCTCGGATTGAATTGATGGATGCTGTTATTTATTGAGTGAACTCGAAAAGAGAATGCATGAGAAAATCAAGTTTGCATTTCACAGTTTAAAGGATCGAGACTTAGAGAAGGCAGGTGATTGATGCCTCAAGGTGTAAAACTAAGTTACTCTCACTTTCCTTTGCTAGAAATAATCCACAAGGTGAGGGGAAGTTCTCCCTAGTTGGAGTGGTCTTTAGGAACAGCGGAGTTAAATGTCACAAGATGTTTTGAAAGTTGCCTGCTAAGTTCGGCTTTCCCTTAACCTCTGTGTAAAATTTTATGATCCATCAAAGAAAAAATATTCAAAAAGAAGTTTAAAAGCTTGTATCAAGACACCTGTGGCCCTTAAAAACCTTGCTGTAGATCTATCTAAAAATCCGCAAAGCCCTATTAGTGCTCCAGTAATGCTCATGCAATTGGGTTGGACCAGAATTGCTCTGTCTTACACACCAGATTCTCCATACACATGCATCATGACACTCCTGAGTTAATGCTGACATTCGTGAAACATAATGAGGAGTAACTCATCTTTATAAGTACCTGGTGGAATGTGTTGCATTGTACAGTTTATAAAGAAGTTTTATATCCAGACTCTTGTCACTTCTGTGCTGGTGCTTGGGTCATTACATTAGTTGCTTTTAACATCAGTTTGGTGCTAGCAGTGCCATCTGTTCTGTTCCCAAAAAAACTTAGGACATCTGCCCAAATAAACACTGGCCAAGAAGTAAGTACCGGGTGTGCTGGACGACGGCCAACCCCACAGTATTAAATGGTGTGTGAACATGCTAAACAGTACTATGAGTGTACAGTCAGCAGAATTCCAACTGTGGGAAACACTCCCCTTCAGATGCCCTGGGTTCTTCAAGGGATAAATTATAAAGAAAAGACAGGTGAAGTAGGAATCTCCAGAAACAAGGAACTTAAAAATGTATTATTTTTAAATGAGAAAGGCTAAACTGTAGTACCTAGGTGCATATTGTTGAATGGTAAATTACTTTATAAAAAATTTTTGAAAAGAGGGCTGGGGATTCAGCTCAGTGGTGTTGCTGCCTGCCTCGCAAGCACAAGGTCCTAAATTCAATCCCCAGTACTGAACAAAAAGGAAGTATTATAAATCAGAATAGTGGTTAATTTGGGAAAGAAGGGAAGGAAACTGGGATGGGACACAGGATAAGGAGATCTGGAGTGGCTAGCAAAGGTGTATTTGTTAATTTGAGCACTCATTAAAGGGGTGCTTGATTTCTGATAATTTACTGAGATATGTTTGTCTGTTTGTTTAGGTTTCCAGATCCCATGCTTTATTTTCCAGTACAAAGTTTTTAAATGGAATGCATAACCCAGTGCATCTACTTGTTCCATTTTTTTCTGTGACATTGAAAGAAGGTGATTCCGTAAGACAACTTGGGGATAGATAAAGTATCGGTTATTTAACTTTGAATAAATGTTGGTCTTGTTGGAGCACTGAACTAAAATGAGAGCCAAGGAGCCTGTTGAATCTTTTTAAAGTCTCTTGTGTCCCTACAGCAAAGATTGAGAGTGGGGTGGCTTCAGAGTCCCTGGATTTAGTAGGTCCTAGGCTGACTGTTTGGTATGTTCTCCCTCCCTTGGTGGCTGTCTGGGGAGCCAGGGGTCTCTTCACTCTTAAACCAGTAGTTCTCTCCCTGGTGAGTGGAATAATGATTCGGGGAGTGTTTATTTAGCATCTGCTGTGCCCTGCAGGGAACTGGGAAATGAGGAAACATAAAACAGAATGGAATAAAGACCTGCCTCAGGTACTGTTACTGTCTACTGACTAGGAAAGCAAGTCAATAGTGTAAGTCAGTGGGTGTTGGCTGGACAGAGCGGGTAGACAGGCATGAGAAGTTAGAGGTCAGTATAGTTTAAGAACAGATTTGCAGCCTACTGGCTGCACTTGCTCACTCTAGTGCTACCTTCGATGCCAGGCAGATATATGGCTTCTTAATAGCTTGTAGTTTCCTCTGCTGCCTTGATCTACTTACTCTGTAGATGAGTCTTCTCAGCATTGTGGGGAAGACTAATTCATCCTAAAGTGACTGTGGATCTTTTTTTTGCCAAGTATTGTAATATTAAGAGTTGCTTTTTGGTGTAATGATGGAAAGCATGGAATCTGGAAGCGGATTGGCTAAGGTTAACTTCCTGCCCTGCCACATGCTGTGTGACCCTAGGGAAGAATACCTCTTTGGGCCTCAGTCCTATAAAAACATGAGTAATAATGATAATACCTGCCACATAGGATATTCACAGTGATCAAATGAACTGACATTTATAAAGGACCTAGAGAAGTGCTCGTCACCTAGAAAGAGCTCTATAAATGCTTACCAAATAAGTAATTAACGTTAACCATTAGCACTGTTTCTGAAATGCTTTATAGGCAGCATCTCACTGATTCATGCCAACAGCACAGTAAGCTACATGTGCCATTACAAAGCTAATATGAGATAACAATATTCTTAATTCAATTACTTGAACCCAAGAGAATGAAGACTCAGGTTGCATTACTACAGCCTTCCTCTCACACACACCTGGCATCAGAGACTTTTACTTTCCACTCACCCCACTTACTTGATATAGAAGCTCAATGGAGCCCAATGTGCTTCCCCAGCTTGGGTTATTTGGGATGCTGAGATCAACATTTACTGGCTACCTCGTAACTTTAACAAGAGAGGAACCCCAGCAAGAATGGCCCTGGGGAGCAGCTACAGAGCCCTGCCACCTGCAGTTCTCATCCCAGCCCTGATTGCAAAATTGCTAAGTACTGCACAGGTATGGTCATGTGGTCCAAACTTCATAACGGTAGACATGAAGAGGAAAAGCTGGAAGTGTAAGAGGACTCACCTGCGGTCACACAGCTGGGAACAGAGCCAGAAGCAAACCCAGGCAGACCAGTGCTGTTCTGTGTAGGACAGTGGCTGGCACTGGCCCAGGCACGATAAAGACAGCACCAGTTTAAAACTTTGTGGCAGGGCCGGGGATTTAGCTCAGTGGTGCCGCTGCCTGCCCCACAAGTGCAAGGTCCTTAGTTTGATCCTCAGTACCAAAAAACAAAAACCCTGTGGCAGCCCTTGTAGATGGTTGTTTCCTTCCCCATTTTACAGAGATAGAAAGTAGCAGGGCTGAGATTTTAATGCAAATCTGCCAGAGCCCACAGATGGGATCCACATTTCAGTTTTTCAGCTGGGAGCAGGTAATAAAATTGGATCATTCTTCAGCTGCCAGTGTTGACTTGCTAGCCTGTATTTGGTAGAGATTCACTTATGTTTCCCTTACTGGTTCACTCCAGGACTCCAGATACCCACTTGTGGGTTAGAGTGGTCTATTGCTGTGATAAGTGTATCGCCAGCACTATTTTAAATAATCCCCAGATCACAGTCATGTCCTAATGGTGTCTGAACTGTGATCCCTGAACTGAAATTGTGCAAAGTTGGCTTTCACGTTGCACCAGATTCCAATGCTTAGTCACCTCTATTGGGTTCTGAGAAATGATCACAGGGTAGTTGCCTGCCATTCCTTGTCTTTCGGGGAACACTCCGTCTTCAAGTAAAGAGAACAAACTCCTATCTAGAAGACAGGGGGTGGTTGGGAATCTCTTAGTTCAAAGATCTTCAAGGCTCTCCCCACCAAGCGATTTTAGTACCTTTCCCAGAACTCTGGGGGACTGAGGCAGGAGGATGACAAGTTCAAGTCTATCCTAGACAACTTAGCAAGTCTGCCTCAAAATTAAAAATTTTAAACAGAAAGGCTGGAAGTATAACTCAGTAGGATGGCCCTGGATTCAAACCCCATTACCACAAAAAAATGGTTTCCTGTGGATAGTCCTCAAGAAAGACAGAGTTGAAAATTCCTGGAGCTTCCTGCTCCCAGAGTATCCTTATACCCTGAGGTGAATGGATCTTAGCAGCCTGGATTTAGTTGGAACTTTAAATGGGAAGACATAAACCCTCTTGAGGAAGCTTCTGCCTAGGACTCATCTCTGCCCCAAATAGGACAGGTAGAACAGCTAAAATGGAAATAGGCCCTCTTAACTCTAGGACAGCCAGACACTCCATGGTTTTATATTGTAAACATTTCAGATGCTTCACTAAGGGGCTAGTGGGGTATGGGATTAGGGCAGACAACTTACAAAGGAACCAGAAGAAATCATCCTCCTTAAGATGTATCAGGTAAAGGTGGATGCCAAAGGAAACCACACAATATAATGATATTCTTTTTATATAACATTGGATTTCTTCTGGCAAGAACCTCTGCCTTTGTGACTAAGAACAGTCATTAGCTTTCAACCTGTATCAAGAAGGTCCCACACCTAGCCACTACCCAGCAAGGGAGTGGAGTCTTAGCCACAAGTCTTCATCACAGCTATCCTTTGTCATGGAAATGCTGTGAATGATCAGGGCCAACCCTCCTAGCTCAAAACAGACACTGTGCAGGAGATGAGGACCTTCTGAAGCCTAATGAGAACTTCCCTGATGGTAGACCTTTTAAAGTCTACTTGTACTCATTCATGGTACAGCATGGCTGAAGTTCAGAAGCTGTATCCTAGTCCCCTGTGTGATCCCCCGAGCCCGGGACCTGGGAGATTTAAGATCTTGTGATTGTCATTTGTTTCTCCCCACTTGTTACTATCAAGCCAGTTGCCCTCATGCCTAATAAGGAGGTCTTCCATCTTGAAGTTAGGCCCTTACATCCCGGGGGTTTTCAGGTAGCTCCATGGAATGTGCCTCACTGTTTTGCCTTGGCACATGACTGGGAGGAGGTAGTCGCAACAGGACGGAATCTGAGGAAAGGAGTGAGAGGTAACAAGTGCTGACTTTCCTGGGAAGGGGACAATTAACGGAAACTCTGGTTGTTCACATCAACATTCTACTGTACATTTCTTCTTCCCCAAAGTTATGATTCAGAGTTGATTAGAGCCTCAAAGGCAGAAGCATGCAGAATTGTTACTTTTGTGTTCTGTGCTGGTGTCAGATCCCACTAGACAACATTTTCTGGTCGTAGGGGGATTACAAAATCTCAGATCTAAAGGTGGAAAGCACTCTCAAGGGTAAGGATGGAATCAGCTATATGTTGCCTTGAGCCTGCATTGCCAAGTCCCCAAACAGAATCTTGTCCAGGAGGATGTGGAACAAATGCAATATGCTTTGGAGATCTGCAGGGAGGCCTGGTTCCTACAGGACCCCACAGTATGGAGTAAGTCCTATAAATGTGCTTTCTCCATCAGATTTTGTACCCTGAATTACCTTCCTAGAGGGAAGGAGACTATCACTACCATTTTTCAATTGAGTGCATTCCAGGTACTGGGCACATGACATACATTTCCCCACTGAAACCCCATGGCCCTAGAGGTAGATGTTGCTCTTCCCTTTTGCCAGTGAGGAAAATGAGTTTGAAGCCATTGAGTTTTCACACAGTTAACCTGACGTCAAAGAATGAGAAGGTCATTTACTCCTTCAGTCCTCTGGCTTCCCCTAAACGAGTGGTCCAAAAGAGTGAGCAAGGTGGAAGCTTCAGTGCCCTTTAGTCCTCATTTTAGAAGCTGCACACTGTCACCTCTGTCATTAGAAGCTGCTTGCTAAGTCCAGTCCACATTAAGGATGGGAAATTAGCCTCTACCTTTGAAAAAAGGAGCATCATAGAACTTGTGGACATGTTTTAATACCATCACAATCACTACTGCCTGTTGATACAGGAAGCCAGCCTGAAAGTGGGCATGAACTGTCAACCACATTCTTGGTCCTAGCTCCCAGGGCCGAGTACTGTTTAAAAGGCAGAGACCGTGTCTTGGTCACCATTGGAACCACAGAACCAGCCACAGAGCTTGGAACATAGTAGGTAAGTAATGAATGTTTAAAACATACAGTAGTTGATTAACAAATTGAAAGTATGAAATATATAGATGGTATTAATTATGATAATGAGTTCAAAGGTACCTAGGCAAACCAGCTGAGAGAGCTCATGTACATTATTTTCCTTGGGAGGCATTTGAACTTAGGAAGAGGATCTCTACAGTCCCTCGGAGCTCTAACTAACTGTTTTAAAAGAAAAATCATGAAAATACCTTGTAGCCTTTGTAGACAACCTCCCTTGTCGTGGGGTCATTGCTTTCTCTTCCCTTTTCTTTGCAGATCGCCTTGCTCCCCAACAATGCTGCTGAACTGAGCAAGTACATCACTGGCAACAAGGTTCTGGCCTCAAATGCCTACCTTCCAGGACCTCCTGGCCTACCTGGGGGCCAGGGTCCACCTGGTGAGTGTGGAGAGGAGGCCAGGAGGCTGATAGCATCACCAGAATAGGTCACAAGAGGTCATGTTCTGTGGGATCCAGGTGGTGTTCTCCAGCTTCCATCAATAAGAAGTGAAGCAGGTGACCAGGGAGCTGCCATCCTCTTGTACACTGAGAGGGCCTTGGGAAATTAGGCTTTCCAGCCTAAGGACCCTTTAAACCAATAGTAATTTGGGAGGAAAGGGTAGTTGTCTTGGCATTATACATGATTCTTGAAGATCGTTTTAAGAGAGAATCACCAAGCTATTTTTTAACTTCATGCTGGGAAATTTCTAATACATATAAAATTAAATGGTATAATCACTGACTTCTACCAGTTCGTGGCCAGCCTCATTTCCACTGCTCCTCAATTCTCTCTCCATCTTCCCTTATTAACACAATTGCCTTTATTGTTAGATCTTTCTACATAGTTTTTTTTTCATAAGTATACTTTGTTGAGCTATAATTTAAGATGTACCCATTGTAAGATAGCATTTGATGAATTTTGTCAGATCTATACAACCTTGTAACCAACACCCTACATCGAGATGTAGGACATCATTGCCCCAGAAAGTCCCCTCGTGCTCATATGCAGTCAGTGCACCCCCATCCCCAGCTCTGGGCAACAGTAATCTGCTTTCCTTTACTGTAGCATCACCTGTTCCAGTACTACATGTCTGTAGGATTTTTCAGCTTGCATTCTTTTTATCTGGCTTCTTCAATTCAGCATATAGTTTTAGAGATTCAGCCTTGTTAATTTGAAGAAAAAAGCTTTGTTGTCTGGCAGTACTAGAGATTGAACCCAGGGCCTTCACACCAAACTATATCCCCAGCCTTTTATTGTCTTATCATTTCATTTAAATATATGATGAAACTTCAAAAAACAAAGTGTTTTGTGTTTTATCATGAGCCCCTCCGAAGACAGATCAGTGGATTTTTTTTTTTTTTACATCAAGAAATTACATCAGTGTTAGCAAGTGATTATAAATCATTGACTGTCTGATGACTGGTTATCTTGCTCAGCAGTGTGCTAAGTGTTTGGAATGGCCTCCTGATGTTCTAAATGGGAAGATAGGAGACAGGCAGTGAATGCAAATAGAAGACAAAAGTTTCTACCTGTCCCCCAGTAAGTGTGCAGATACTTTCTACTGTGGGAGGAGAAAGAAAGGAGAAGTCGCTGTTACCTTCGGTGATCAGGGATTTAGAGTTTGCTCTGCACATAAATGATTGGTAGAATTTGTCCAAGCAGGAAGGGTATGGCTAGGTTTAAGGTTGGACAGTCAGCAAGAATCAAGGCTCAGAGTCTTTCCCAAAGGATTTGTGTGTCTTCAATACTTAATCTCTATCTAATATTGGTGACCTGTGTCTCAGTCTGAACAGAGAACTGGCCCAGGACTTTGGTTTCTTCCTTTGTTCATTCTCTAGACCTGAGGTTCTCTGGGTTATGGCAGAGTTTTCTCGAGCAGATGCCTCATACAGGCAGCCTCTTGCTGCTTCTAAGTAGACTGGGTCTCTTCTTACAAACAGATTACCAGCCCGTTCTCCACCTTCTGTAAAAGAATGTTCTTGCTTTACTTCCCTGAATGAAGCTCATCTCCAGGCCATTCCACGGGTCTCTAGACCAAGGACAGCTACAGGAGCAGGGGAGCCATTGGCTGGCTGTTTTCGTTTTTGTTTTTTTAAATAAATGACTTACTAGCTGTCCTCCCCAAGTCTGCCAACTCGTTTCTAACATGCATAGAGCTGTCCACAGGGTCTTCATGGAACAGAGAGGATTGCTGATGAATGAGATTTTGAAATGAACTAGACCCTTACATGAAGAATTTCTAACTTCCTACTTCTAGTGTTTTTGATGCCCTCCACTGAGGTATATCAGAGCACCTAGAAAGCCAATATTTTTCTCTTGCCTTAAAAAAAAAAAAAGTTCATTTTAAGGCCTGTGATAAATCATAGGTTTTAGCACCAACATAGAAAAGGTACTGTGTTGGAATCTTTTGGCTTTGGTAGTGAGGGGGGTGGCTGCTCTCTAGCCTCCACTGTTAAATATAAGATACTTCATTTATGTATCAAGACCCCTCATTTAAATGTGCTTAGCATACGCTGATCTCTGAGGTTCATTGATTAAACAGAAGGAAGATGTTGTCTCTGGCCTGTCTTTCTGCTTTTGGAGGTAAAATATTTAATTAGTGTAGGATCCCTCCCACTTCCCATATAAACTCATTCAGGATGTAACCATGACTAGTAGGTGAGAATTGAGGCATAAGACATGTTTGGAAGGAATATTGCCTGCCTTTAACTTTTCATTAATTTTCCCATGAACTAGAAAATTCTGATGCATACTACAACATGGATGAAGCTTGAGAACATTAGGCTAAGTGAAATAAGTCAGTTAAAAGACAGATGCTCTATCATTGCACTTATATGAGATCTCTAAAATCATCCAACTCACAGGAATATAACAGGGTCTTAGAGACTGAGACTACAAATGTCAGTGAGTAACTAAAAGTAGAATGAAACTTGACATTTTAGTCTTTATTTTATATTTGTCTATTAATGCCTTGAAACTTTGGGTCAGATCCCTGCTTAGCTCTGCACATTGTGATTCTTAATCATTTAAGGAGTATCCACAATGAAGTTGTTAGCCTTAAATTTGCCTAGCTAATTGTCTCTCCTTTAAGACTGAGGATACCAAGGTAAGAGTAACAAATTTTTAGGATTGTCTCAGGACATCTCATTGCCAGATTGTACATTGTACAGTTCCAGGTGCCCTGGTACAATGCCTAAAAGTCTCTAGTCATTATCCTTAACCTGCAGTCAGCTTGAATTCCAAGAAAAGCAGAGCCTCCTGGACCACCCCTCAGGGAGGTCACCTTCTAGCCAGGAACATTTATCCCATGTCAGGAACTATGGCTGCCTCCTCTAAGCAGGAACCATCATCTCATGATGGGAACCAAACTGTCCTCTCAAGCGATGATGACTCTCCCAGGACCTCACAGAACCAGCCTGAGATTCTGAGCAACCAGACCACAACTTGACAAGGATTACCTATGCTGCCAGATGTACAAACCCTCAGCCCTTGCCTTTGTTCCCATTTCTGTAAAACCCCAAAGTTTCTGCCAGCCATTCAATGACAGATTTTGAACTTGTTTATTTGTGCTTCCCAGCATGGCCATGCTGATTGAATCTCCTTTCCTGCCCTTCAACACTGCCCATCTCCTTGATTAGCATTATGGGACAGGTGGCAGAGCTTGCTCTCTTGGGACCCCCAGAGCTATGGCTTTTGCCCTAAAACTCTCGTAATAGAAACAGAAAGGAGACTCATGGTTACCAGAAGCTGAGTACAGAGGAAATGAGGAGGAATTGTTCAGTGAGCATAAAGTCATACATTTACCAGATGAAAAAGTTGGGAAGATCTCTTGTACAACAGTGTGAATGTACATTCTACTACTGAAATACACATTTGAAAATGGTTAAGATGGTAAATTTTGTTATGTATTCTCCACCACAGTATTTTAAGAAATTCTGTCAAAACCAGACCCTCTTTTTCCTCATCCTTCCTGGCTGATATTCAAGGTCTAATGGAGAGGTGCAGCCCCACAGCTCACACAGCGGTGACCCTTGAGGAACCAGTGAGTCATGACTTGGAACCTTCCCTGTGTTTCAGCCAATTCTGTGTCCCAGTGAAAGTGTGGGATTCCCCAACCTTCACTGAAAGCCCAGCCCATGCCAAAAAGATCATTGACAACTATGTGTTTCCATATAAACACAGTATACTTCTCTTCCCCATTAACTTCCAAGACAAAATGGTATAAACAAACTCTGGTACAAATGCAAGCAAGTATTATCAAGCAGATACCATCAGTTATTATCAAACAGTTAAATAGTTTATTCTTGAATTTGTATACTCCCAAAGCTGTACTGATGTAGGCCTCTGAAAAGAATTTTAAGAACAGAAACAGCAGTAGAAAGAAAAAACCTTCAACATCTACAGAGTGTAAGTAGATGGGTCAAATGAATGAAGGTGGCTGTAGGGGATCAAGAGTAAAGGGGATTGAACAAAACCTAGCATAAATCCCCTTTAAAGAGGCAGCCCCTATATAGAGCACCAATCACTTGTGCCAATGGCAGAATTGTGGTCGTGGTTTTAGTTCTTTCAAATTGAAGCAGAGACCTAGGTATTTTACATCCTTTCCCTTCCCTGGTGTTAGACTTCAGGTACTTAATATTCCATACCAGATTTGTGAGAATAGAGAACATTTTCAGATCTCTTACTACAGCTACAATCCTGAGCTTGGGCTGTGCATGTGAACCTGGAGGTGAGATCTTGCTCATGCTTACCTACAACATGCTTTGAATTTGTAGCAAATCTTGGATAGGACAACATTTCTACTCTCATTGTGGATATTTGTGGAGGCCTGCTGGGGAGAGAGTTTGCTACCCCAGCCCAGTGGCTTAAGGCTTTTGTACCAAAGGCTTGCAATTAGGAAAACTACACAATAAGATTAATTTTAGAAATAATATTAATATAGAAATGTAAAGAATGGGTAAGGAAGAGCTGTGAAAAGTTTTCCTACATTGTAGGTTGTGTCTTCACACTATTGGTCATTTCTCTTGCTGTGCAGAAGCTTTTTAATAAGATGAGATCCCATCTATTGATCGATTATGCTAGGTCACAGGCAACTGATGTTTTGTTCATAAAATCTTTTCCTACACCAATGTCTTCAAGAGTTCTATCTAACCTCTCTTCCAGCCAGTTTAGTGTTTCTCTTTTAATATTAAGATCTGTAATCAGCCGGGAGTGGTGGCACACGCCTGTAATCCCAGCACTCGGGAGGCTGAGGCAGGAGGATCACTGTGAGTTCGAGACCATCCTGGGCTACATAGTGAGTTCCAGGTCAGTCTCAACTGCATAGTGAGACCCTGTCTCAAAAAAACCAAAAAAGAAAAAAAAAGATCTTTAATCCATTTTGATTTTAGTTTAGTGTATGTTGAGAGATACAGGGCTAGTTTTAGACTTTGGCAAGTTGAAACCCAGTTTTTCCAGCACCATTTATTGAAGAGGCTGTATTTCTTCCAGTGAGGTTGGCTCCTTTGTCAAAGATGAGGTGGCTAAGTGTGTCTGGACTTGCTTCTGCATCTTCCAATCTGTTCCACTGGTCCTCAGGTCTGTTTCTTTGCCAGTATCATGTTTTGTAATATAGTTTCAAGCTGGGGAATGTGATATCCCCTACCTTGTCTTTATTGCATAGAATTGCTTTTTCTATTCTAGGTCTGTTCTTGTTCCAAATGAATTTTTGGATTGTTTTCTCAAGGTCTGTGAAGTGTGTTGCTGGGATTTCAATTGGGATTGTATAGAATCTAGATAGCAGTTTTGGAAGTATGGCCATTTTTACTATATTGATTTTCCTACAGCAGCAATGGATGTCTTTCCATTTTCTGATATCCTCTTCAATCTCTTTTTTCAGAGTGCTATAGTTTTCAGAGTAGAGATCTTTGATTTCTTTCATTAGGTGGATTCCTAGGTATTTCAATGTTTTGGATGCTATTGTGAAAGAAATTGTTCCTCTCATCTCTCTCAGTGAGTCTATTTTTCATGTATAGGAAATCCATTGATTTTGTGTGTGTTGACCTTGTATTCAGCTTCTTTGCTGAATTTGCTTATTAAGTCTAGAAGACTTTTGGTGGAGTCTTGGGTCTTCTTGTGATCTACTATCTAGAATATATAAAGAACTAAAAAATAAATCAGACCTCCCAAATTTAAAGACCAAATCTAAAAATGGACATCTGAAATGAACCAACATTTCTCAGGCAAAGAAGTAGAAATAGCAAATAAACATATGAAAAAATGTTCACCATCACTGGTCTTTCAAGAGATGCAAATGAAAACAACATGGAGTACTACTCAGCCATAAAGAATGAGAAACTAGAGATATTTATAGTTAAATGGATGCACATTGAATCAATACTCTTAAGTGAAATAAATAGGACACATATGTGTAAATACCGAATAGTTTCTCTAGTGTGAGAAACAAAGTGTAAGTAAGGACTAAAGGGTATAATAGATAATATGAAATAGGAAGAAAAGGTGCAAAGAGGAAGGGGAAGTAGGAGGGGTAGGGGAAAAGAAAGATGGGAATGGAATTAACATAAGAAGAAAAAATGGAAACAAAGTCTTTGTAAATAAGGAAGGGTGGAGGGGTTTAAGGGAGGGCAGGGGAATGGGGAAAAACTAAGAACCAAGATTGATTATGTAAAGGTACAAATTTCTAATGGTGAATGTCATTATGTTATTATACACCTTAAATGTACCAATAAAATTAATTTTTTTAAATTTGTGATTTTTCATAAAAACCTTTAGTTTTTTACTTTTAGTTCAAAAGTCATCTAAGTTTAATATATTTTGGGGGGGCCAGGGATTTAGCTCAGTGGTTCTACTGCCTGCCTCATAAGTGTAAGGTCCTGAGTTCAATCCCTGATACCCCCCCAAAAAAAAGTAACCTAAAATTAATATGTTTTAGATCTCAAGGAAGTTATAAATAAATGATCTTACTTGAAAAAAAAAAAAGAATGGGTAAGGAGTAAACAAGATTGGTGGGAGGTAGAGGGACAATCTATAAAGAGTTGAGTGGAACAAAAGGCAGAGACCTAATAATATTTTTTTTTGGTACCGGGGATTGACCTTGGGTTCTTGTGCTTGCGAGGTAGGCCACCGAACCACTGAGCTAAATCCCCAGCCCATAATAATGTGCTTCATAGTTTTTATTTTTTTGGTACCAGGGATTGAACTCAGGACCTTGCACTTGCCAGGCATGTGGCAGAACCACTGAGCTAAATCCCTGGCCCTAACAAATTTATTTTTAGTGCTTGCTATGTGTGAGGCACTATGCTAAGTGCTGTGTACATGTGTATCTAAAATCTCATTTAATACAGCCATTCTGTAAAGTAGCTTTTTTAGAGCTATAGAGATGAGAAACTAAGGTTCAAAGAGTGCAAGCAACTATGTTCAGATCTAGGTCTCTCTGACACTACAACTTGTACCCTTAACTCCTGTCCAGATGTGATAGTTACTACCCATATGTGATAGTATCCTGATGATGTGACGGAGGAGACAGAGAGGGACTGTTTGGGTAGGAGCTTGTCACTGACTGGATAAGGAGATTGTGGAAATAGGGAAATATTGGCAGATGCTCAAGTTTCTAGTATGATTTGTGGTCCATGAAAAGAGAAGAAGATTGGGAAGTCACTTTGAATCAGGTTAAGTTTAAAATTCCAACAGGACACCTACATGGTAGTCTCAGAAAGCAAAGGGGCAGAGTGCAAGGTAAGTGGCTGAAGGACTCTTGGACACTGCTCCTCCAGAATCCCTTGGCTTCCCCAAAGGCTTGAGCTAATGAGGTGTTCTTTGATTACAGGCTCACCAGGACCAAAGGGGAGCCCAGGCTTCCCTGGTATGCCAGGCCCTCCTGGGCAGCCTGGCCCTCGGGGCTCAATGGGACCCATGGGACCATCTCCTGACCTATCCCACATTAAGCAAGGCCGGAGGGGCCCCGTGGTCAGTATCTTATCAGAAATCTGCCTGTGATTGTTGGGTAAAGTATGTGTCCTATGCCTTTTCCATTAAACCAGATCCTTGTATATTATAGGGTCCACCAGGCGCACCAGGAAGGGATGGCTCTAAGGTAAGACTTAGGCATGGTCCACACAAGCTGAAGGTCTGTTTCCACCTACTATGTAAGCACTGAGTACAGTTCAACAAGCACTATTTACCTCCCTGTGTTGCATGTAGCAGTACTAAAACACAGATATGCAGGTTGAATAGTCCGAATCTGAAAATCTAAAATCAGAAGCTCCTTAAACATTGATATGGTGCTCAAAAATTTTTGGATTTTGAAGTATTTCAGATTTTAGATTTTCAGATTAGTGATGCTTAACTGGCAGTCTATGCAAACATTCCAAAATCCAAAACACTGAAATCGGTAATACTTCTGATCCCAAGCATTCTAAGTAGGGGATACTCAACCTTTACTTTGATCTGAAAAACTGGGAACACAATTTAAAAGTATAAAATGAACCCTAAAAGCAAATATGACCACCAGTACCATGCCTAACAAATAAGATTCCTATACATTTTAAATAAACTTCTGTTTTGTGATACATACATGTGTTTTTCTCATCAACCAGTGTTGTTTTATAGGGTGGTTTCTTTGTATATCTCCATTTCTCTAAGATTATTATTAAGTCAAAGCAGAAGTTCCATTTTATACAAGTGGGTGGTTTCACTTTTGAGGGCTTCCTGCTATTGCTCCCAAAAAGTCAATGTGTGTTATACTTCATAAAGTTTCTTTTATTCCACATGCTGCCTGAAAATACTTGTCAGATCTGCTTTGAAAATGTATGACTTAGGGGGAAATCAGCATGTAAATCACTTGACCCAAGTATTTCTGTTCCTGTAAGCAGTCCCACAAGTCTAGCTTCATTCCTGTATTTGTTTCCGATACAAAATACAGTACTTGTTTTGTGCAGGAAAATGGCTGTGAAGGGTGAGTGTCTGAACAGAGTCTGTGATGGAGATCATATGGTCCAAGAACACTAACCCCGTCCTTTCTGTTTTTAGGGGGAGAGAGGAGCACCTGGGCCCAGAGGGTCTCCTGTAAGTGGCACTACCTGTCCTGCTTCCACAATGGAATGTTCTCAGTGATGCAGCTCTTATCCTTATGAGAGCCGATAAGTGGGTCCTCATAGCAGAAGCCACCTAACCAGAACTCTGTGGTCAGAAAGAGAGTCATGGAAGCCTTTAACAGCTGGTTTTGATTACTTTCTAAATTTGTTTTCCATTGCTATGTTTACTTTTATCATGGTTAATCTTTATGTAGAGTGCATTCTATAAAGTCCAGTATGCCATAAGTCTGTTTCCAAATACAGTGTATCATAAAATATCCCAAAGAACTAGAATAGAAAGCAATGGATTTTCAGAACTTGGAACACTTGAGAATGTAACCCAATACAGTCCTAAAGGTCACAAAGGTCAAAGATGTGCAGGGTTGCTTAAGACCTGAGAAAAAATAAACTGCATACATCAGCAGGGTCCAAGAGATTCAAAATGGAAATTAGTAACATCCAACAGTATAGAAAATGCAAATAAGTCTACTACTTCTGAAGAAATCAGTGTCATATCCAAGAATAGACTCGCAACTGTGGCCACAAAGATAGGAGGTCTCACCTCTTCCATCTGTTAGCTTTCTGACCAAAGCGACATTACTTAGCATCTCTAGGTGTTCATCTCCTCACTTGTACAGTACCAGTGGGGCAGTATGATCTGCCACTCTTTAAGTAGTTATCATGAGAGCCAAGTGGTAGCAAAATATCATGCCTATCTAAGGGCTTTGCTATGTTAACTGCTGCTTCAAGGTGGCAGCCACCACAGCAACAGCCATAACAGGGGTAATAACAATTTCACCTTTAAGTTGTATCAGGCCCAAAATATATACATGTTTATACATTTTTATCACACAGCATTGCATGGAAATTAAAGCTATTCTGTATAACGATGAAGGATGTTTAGTAAATAGAAAACTTTTTGTTCTGAGCTTTCCTGGTAGTCCAGGAATTGGTGTCTTTACAACATGCTGTCAGCCTCATATAGCTTGCCGTTATAAGTCAACCATCTCATAAACATCTTAATTTTATTTTGAAAGAACAGACATTTTGGAGTGTTTATTATGCTATAAGCCCTTTACCTGCATTAAGTCACTTCAATCCTGACCTCTGAACCCTGTGAAACTCTGTGATGTTGGTCTATTGGCCTCATTTTACAGATGGGGAAAACTGAAACCCAAAGAAATCAAGTGCCAATGCCACACACCTTGCAAGTGAGAGAGTTGGGATTCAACCCCAGCAGAAACTCAGCCTCTTAACCACTACTCCACTATTTTCATAAGTGTCCTCCAGATTTCTTTGGAAAGTCGCCTAGGATGGTTAGTGTCATACTCTTTGATCTGCCAGCTTTGATATAGCCTAGAGTTAGGAGTGAGAACACGTGACTGTATCACCAATGTTGATATTTAATATAAGGAATTAGAAGACAACCTCAAGTGTCCCAGACTGCTGTCATAATCCTTATACTTACTACATCCAGAGCACAGAGTTATACAGAAGGGAGGTACCAGCAAGCAGCAGGATCAGCAGATCATGGAGCTAGGGAGTCCATTGTTGCCACGGGGTGATTCTGTTGTAAATCGTAGCTTTGATTCTTCCCACTGTGCAGGGACCACCAGGCTCTTTCGACTTCCTGCTCCTTATGCTGGCTGACATCCGCAATGACATTGCTGAGCTGCAGGAAAAGGTGTTCGGACACCGGACTCACTCTTCAACAGAGGAGTTCCCTTTACCTCAGGAATTTTCCAGCTATCCAGAGACCATGGACTTCAGCTCTGGAGATGACTATCCAGGAAGAACTGAAGCAAGAGACTTGGGAGCCCCCAGAGACTTTCACCCCTAGCACGTTCCACATGTTCACACCAGTGGAAAAGAGGAGCACCTTTGCCTGCAATTAAAGCATCTAAAGAAAAAGTTACTGGAGATCTAGAAAGGAACATTTCATTTCCTTGACTTTTTTCCTGCCTTCTCACTGCTCTTCTTCTAAGTGTTGTTTTCAGAGTGCCCTACTAAAGACAGAAGGGAGGAAATAATGAATGTATGCAATGTTCGCAGGAAGTCCGTTGGGTAGTCTGCATTGGGACTTTTCTTTGATATCCTAATTTTTCAGGAGCTTCTGGATTTCTGAGCTAAGTACTCTTGCCACATCTTAAAATTGGGCACATGACCAAAAAAAAAGGAAAGATGGCAAGGAGAGTTCTAAGAAAGCTTGAGGCTAACTTCTTTTTTTAAAAAAAGTGTCATATTTGACACAAAAAGATTGTGTTCCTCCTCTTGTATCCAAATTAGAGCTCTTTCGTTAAAAGGAGTGAAGAGCTATAAAGATCACCTTAATGGATAATTCTTTTTCCTTGTCAGTCTACTAGGTTTTACATATTCCATCCTGTTATCAAACCTCATTTCCCAAATTTACTTAGAGAAAGGAGAGAATTAAGTAGTGGAGATTGGGAAAATATAGAATTACAGCTGTATATTTATTGCCAAATAGGTTGTTACATTTTAAAATTCATATACAATTAAGCTAAGTGTTCAGGCCATGCTTATCTATAAGAACCCTTCATGGAGAAGTTCTTTTACCTGTAGGAATAAATCCTCTTTTTCAAAGATAGGAAGGGAGTGAAATTCCCCAGTTCATATTAAAACAGTGGACTCCAGGTTATTTTAAAGCTAATTCATCAAAAGCATGGTCCTGCTCTGTAAATCACAAGTTATTTGTTAAATAAGGTGGCTGATCCTTGGGAAGAAGTGCAGAATTCCCTGCTCTGATCAAGTGCCCAGTGGTGCCACTGGGCCATAATTCAGGCCAGTGAATGTGCAGTGAATTGGAAAGAGGTTGCTGGCATGGGCGATTGGCAGAGGAGCAGGAGAACGCTGGGCAAGGACCCCTGTGAAAACAACTTGGCAGAGGCAGGTAAATTTGCTTTATTTGGGCATTAGAAGTCTTTGTCTGGAGCCAGCAAGCTTGCCAGAATACTGGGAATAATACACTGTTGAGAGTTCTCTTTTATGGAGGGAGGGAAATGGTTTTCTTTGCTTGGCAAAAATTTTCTTTCCAAACTCTAATTTTTCCTTAATTTATTCCGAATTCCAGGTCTTTCAGACTTTCTCCTTGATTTTTCTCTCACTAATGTGGGAAGTTCAGAAAAGAAGGTACATTTCCACACCTGTCATGGAGTTACTGTGTCTCCTCAGAGCTCCTCTTGGGCTCAGAGGGAAGCATATTCCCTTCATAGCTTTTTTTTTAGAATTCGCAGACTCCAGGAACGGGTGGCCAGTCATGGGACCTGCTCCTCTATATTGTTGGGGTTTCTTGGTTCAGTGGCTTCTTTCAGATTTTGAGGGGTCCACTTTCTCCCTGGACACAGAAGAGCTTCTTATCTTCCTGTTCAAAGGATCTGAACCCTTACACTGAGCTTCACACATAATCCCCACACTGCCACATCAGGGTCTCTCTTTCTCTTCCTACAACATCCCTTCATGTTTCTCAGAGGTTTGTACTTGACATTTTTCCATATCCTTTGAACCTAAGTCATTTGTGTTGGAAGAAAACCACCATTGTTGAGTTAGTATGCCACTTTCAGTCTTCTTCCTAAAGAACAAGAGGATAGTGTCGTCTAAATCTCCATAGCACCCAGCTTCCTTCCTTCCATCCTGCCAAGTTAGAAGTGTATGTGGTTAGGTCTTTTATGAACCCTTGGCTCCAATCTGTCATAATCACGGCAGATCCCCAGTGACTGACTGCCAGCATTTGAAGTCGAAGGCAAACACATCAGAAGTGCTTGTTTTTTTTGTCATCCCCTGTCCCCTCAGTCTCTCCAAAATCTAATCTTCACAGATAGCTTCGCCAGCCACAGGTTATGGAGAGATGGGTGCAATAGCTATTGAGTCCCATTTGGGACATTTAAGGTCTGCCTACTTGTGCAGCACAATATGTAAAGTGTGTGGATGGATGAATGCTCAAAAAGAAACCTGCACGGGCTCCATGAGAGATGATTATGTCCACCTTTAATTTTTGTAAATGAGCCTTTTGCTTTTTCTTGACTGTAAACTGTGTTTAGAAATATAATCTCTATTGTCAAATGCTAATAAAATGCAAGCAAACTGCATGTTTGGCCAGAGGCTAAGAAAATATATCAAAAGAAAGAGCTAAAAGTAAAAATATCTGGGATTCATGAGATTAATTTAGATAATAATCTCCAGCAAAACACAATAACATGTATTTTATAATCTTAATGTGCTGTACCAGATCAATTTAGAATATTAATCCTCAGCTTTTCAAAACCTGGACTACTGCAAGAACTAAGTATGTACTCTATATGCCCAGATTATATATTTCAAAGATAAAACATCATATGACATTGTTATTTCTAATATAGCTTTTAATTATGTATGCAAACCCAAAGCTTCACTGTCTAAATAAGACTTATGCTCAAGGAAGAATGGAAAAGCCTTTTTTTAGGGAGAGGAGTTAAAATTTGCCACAGTTTTCTGAAATCACTACATATTTCATGGACAAGAAAGACCTTTGTACACTTCCTTGACCCTTTAGTAAAAATGTTGACATCAAATTTTTGCAAGCAATGGTAATAAAACTCTGCTGTTGAAAATAGTAAGGAGGGCATGTGTTTTAGTTTAGGAAAACCCTTCCCTTCACAGTTCCAGATGGAGAAATTAAAAGCTTTATGTGCCAAAATAGGAATTTGGGCATTGGGGACACAAAGAGGAAGCTACCTTTTTTCACTTCCTGTGTTAATTCCCAACACCTGCCTCAGAATTGGTTGACCAAAGAAATTTCACTGTAAACTAAGATGAAAAATATGTCCATAGCCCAACACATAAATAATGAATGCTCTTTGGCATTAAAGGAAAGGAAGCAAGGAGTATAACCCCACCAAATATCAGGTGCAGAATAGTACTTGGCTGGTTGTGTTCCCTTTCTGAGGTTCCCACCCACCTTGGCTTTGCCTTGGAATAATCATCACAGTCAGGCAGGAAAAGACTTTCTCCATAACCAGGCACCAGGCTTCACCTTGGGTTTTCCCACAACACATCGTATTTTGTCCCTCACTTTCCTCACGCATGCATGCTGCCCCACAGGGACAGCTACCACAACCTCATTCTGCAAGCTTATCAACCGGGAACCTTCCTGAAGTTATTTGCAGGATTCTGGGCCACAAAATTAGTAGAATAAAGCCATCTAAAGTTATTCATCATGAATTCAGGGAAATTGATGAATTTTTTCCTGGCATAGTCAGTATGTGTGTTTTGTAACAAGTCAAAAATAGTTTTCCATTTGGAAAAAAGCACAATATAGTGACCATCATTGTTAAAGCATAAAATCATGGACCTTACATAGTCCTTTTACAAATGTTGCCACTTTAGACAAATCATAGAAAAGGACCCTTTTACAATATATCCCTCAGAGATCTCAACATTGCCAGATTCCCAAAGCAAGGAGTCTGAGGAATTCCATGTGTGTTGTAAGATTGTTTTTACTTCCCAGTAACTAGTTTATACTTTAATAGCTCTGTTCATTATTTATAACAGGTCATATAACAGTCAAGCTAATACTCAAACAGTTATGAATGTGATATTATGAAGTACTTTTGTATGATTGTATATTCTTAATAACAAAGTTATTTTTCTTATGTGGCTCTACTGTGTTTTGTGCTGACCCCAGTCCTGTGGAAGGAATCATCCTTTTACCAGATGAATACAGAAAGATGGAGAGGTATATTTCTCAACAGCTGGAATCTGTGTTCTGAGTTTACCACCTCCTGGGCCTGGAAGTAATGTAAACAGTTGAGTCTAAATCAAAGAGTAAAGGGCCAGGTACCACTGAGTCTAGTTGTCAGAGGCCTATTCCTCTCTTGTGTGGATCCTCTAGGTCCCCTAGGATGGAATTTTTTGAACCGAGAACTCTGTGGGACTCCTTGGGGGTTGGGCTTATTAGAAATGCCTTTGGAGATCACAGAGGAAAGTCAGTGAGGGATCCCACCCCTCTCCCCACCACCAGTGACCCAGTTGCATCTGTTTCAGATTAGAATCTCACATAAGATTTCCTTTTGGGGGATTAAAAATAAGCTAAACAGAGGTGGGAAGAGGAAGCCCCTTGAGTCCATAGCTAGAATCCTCTATGTATGTATCAGAAGGGAATCTTCAACTGGGCCACAGAGAAGGGGAAGTGATTAAAAAGAGGTTACCTGTAAGAGATTTACAAACTGTGGTAAATTCAACAAAGGCAAGTGCTGGGGGCCGCAGAGCCAGTGTGGATCTGCCCTGCGCTCTCGGTACTCCCCTTCCAGAGTCACCTGGCACACAGCACTCACAGTGACAGCACTGTGACCAGCCACCTGAGATTTCGTTGCCCCTGCCAGAGAGAAGCTTTACAGTACTCTAGGTGGAGTCTCACAAATGGAATTCTGGGAGACCACTTAGTACTGTATATCATTTTTTTTTACCCCTCTTAGGGAGCACCCTCCTTATGGTCTCCTGATGTCCTGTGGTGCAGTCAGTTGGTGATATCTGTGCTCTGTTCTAGATTTACAGCACAATATGGTTTGTTTCTTCCCAACCAAGACCATGAAGAGTTGGAAAAGCTCGCTACTCTTTTGCAACTATAGCACACCAGCTCGGGTCCACATGCAGATTTTCCCTGTCCCTTGTCTGGACACAAGGTTATAGGCTGGCCAAATGGGGAGCTGCTGAGCCAGTAGGCAGACAAGGAAAAGTGACACCACAATATGTGGGGAATTGCGGCCTAGGGAACTGATAGAAGAGTACTAGACTGCTGTAATGCAGCACCAAAGTCTAGGGGCTTAAAACAACAAAAATGTACTCACACAGCTCTGGAGGATAGAAATTACAAACCAGGGTGTCAGTAGGGTTACAACTCCTGGAGTCTCTGCAGGAGAAGCCATCCATGTCTCTTTCCAGTTAATGGTGGCTGCCCACTGTCCTGGCATGATTTGTCACTAGTGTCACCATCTAGCTGTTCCACCCTCGTTTCTCTATGTTTTTATGTGGCATTTCTAGCACTCCACTCTGATCCTTCTGTGTGTATTTTCTCAAGACACTACCGGTAGTTATTAGATCAGGATCCACCCTAATCTAGTATGATCTCATCTCATGTACCAAGATCCTGTCCCATATAAGGTCACATTCTGAAGTTCCAGATAGACATGAAGTTGGGGGACAGTAACCTAGTGCAAAAAGAAAACTCTCTCCAGCTTAACTCTCATTACCCTGCGTATTTCCTTTAATAGCATTTTTTCCAACATGAATTTCTTATTCACTTCATTCAACAGAAGTTTATTGATGGGGAAGGGTAGCGTAGTGAACTACAAAGTCTTGGCCCTTGTAAATGATACCTTCTGGTCCAGGAAGATAGACAGAAATGTGTATCTGGGTTCACCAGAGAAACACTATGTTTATTTTTTAAAAATGCAATTTATTTTAAGAAATTGGCTCATGCAACTTTAAAGGCTGGCACATCCAAAATCATCGGATAGGTCAGCAGGCTAGAGAGCCAGGGAAGAATTACTGTTGCACTCCAAGTTCAAAGGAAGGCTGCTGGCAGAATTCCTTCATGCTTGAGGGAAGTAAGTCTTTTTCTGTTAAGTCTTTCAGCTGGTGGATGATACCCACTCACATTATGGAGGATAATATACCTTATTCAAAGTATATGAATTTCAATATTAATCTCATCTAAATTCACAGACTCTTACTTTCCCACTGCTGGGATAAAATACTCAACACCCACAATTTAAAGAAGGAGAAGTTTATTTTGGCTCACAGTTTCAGATCATGGTTGGCTGGCTGTTAAGACAGCATAGCAGAGAAAAAACTGCTCATATGGTGGTGGCCAGGAAGCAGAGAGTGAAAGGAGGAGCTGGGAATGGACATATAACCTTCTGGGTCACACCCCCAGTAACCCACCTCCAGCCAGGCCCCACCTCCTACAACACATGCAGCTCTGAACCCATGATACAATCATCTCCCAAAACCCCAACAGCTCTGAATATAGGAGTCTGTTGGAGAGCATCCTAGGATGCAAAAGTATATAGAGAATGATGTCTGAGCAAATATCTAGGTATTGTAGCCTAGCTAAGTTGATACATAACCTTAACCATCAAAATACCAATATTTTTAAAGAGAGCTATGGGGGGAATTAGAGTAATACAGTAAGGGGAGAGAGTAGTGTGGACTTTAGGTGGCATCTTCTGAAGAGGTCTCACCTAGAAAAGGGTGGTGTATATAGGATCAGAGACCTGAACAAAGGGACAGGTGTGCCACCTGGATTTGTTGGGAGAAAGTGGCCCACACAGATTTTAGCAAGGCCCAGAGATGCACATGCTCGGTGTTCTCAGAGAGTCGCCACAGTGTAAGTGAGGGGAAGATGGGTAGGAAATGCCTTGGAGAGGCAGCTGGCAGCTAGGCAGGTCTTAGACTCTGTCTAGCTTTTTGCATCTCCTAAAGGACCTGTGGAGAGGTTTGAAGGGACAAGAATAGAACTGGGCAAACACGTTTAGAGACTATTGAATGAAGTTCTGTACTTGTCTGCCACTTTGAAAGCTTGCTACATACTTGTTTATTGGCTTCCTTACTAGACCAGACAGGCGGCCTTCTGATTTTCTCTACTGTATTCCTGATATCTGCCACACTTCCCTGTTTGTACTAAGAGTTGAGTGAATATTTTTATAGCGAATTTGATTGGATTAACATTTAATCTTCACAAAGCTCTATAAAGTAGGTACCGTTATCATTCCATATGTCTATATATATATATAACATATATGATTTAAGATACCTTGCCCAATGTCTCAAAGATAAAACACTGGTAACAGAGGTGTGTTTCAGAGCAAACTTTGACTCACTGTGTTGGTTTAGTCCAGCAGCACAGACGCACAGCTCCACATTCTCTCAAGCTTTTTTATTCATAGACTAGGCTTCCTTGGAGCAGGTCACTTGAAGAAAATGAACCATTTGCTTCCTACCATCCAATGTTCTAATCCAGACTGATTTAACAACCTTTCTGACCTTCCATGACGAGGTGGCTGATAAGTGCATCATAAAACTATTAATATAGGCATCTCTTCATTCTCTTCAATAGATAAATAATAACAAAGCTAGTATAATTCATATTCATATAGCTCAAAGATAACGAACTCGAGACTCAAATATTAGAAAACCTATAGTTATTCAGGAGGGTTTTTCTTCCTACAAGGAGTACATCAGAAGTTCTGATTCAATAATCATTGACCAACACAATCCTTTATGAAGTTTCATGTTAAAAATGAGAAAATATCAGGAAGCATGGATACTTCAGGAATTTCTGCATAGGGATTAATGAGCTGTAGGTATTGGTTTGGTAGGTGAACTCGATTAAAGAGTAAAACATAGATTGCCTTGACAGAGCAACCAGCTAAATCATAAGATCAGAGATTTTCTAGTATTTTTGACCATGACTCACTGGGAAAATACATAATTTACACAATGGGCCAATACACATGTATGTGCACATGAGAATTGATAAAAAATATAGTGAATGTTTAATTCTTTTTTGTTGTTTTTTTGCAACAGGGTCTCACTTTGTAGCTGAGGCTGGCCTGGAACTCAAAGCGAACCTCCTGCCTGTGAATGTTTAAATTTTAAAAGAACTTGCTATTGTAAAAGAGACATTGATAAAAATGAGGGAAAAGTGCAGTAGATGTGAAGGGAAGCATTTTGAGTATTTTGTGGGTGACTGGTGGCAATGCGCCTTTTACTGTAATACTTTTTAAATGTAAACGTGTATGTATTTTTCTCACCTCTTTTACATTGAAAGATAATTTGTATTATTTACTCTTTTTTTTAATTGAGTTTATTGGTACATTTTAGGTATACAGTACAGTTACATTCATTTTTGGGATCTTGTACCTCTACATGACAGGTCTTGATTTTCATTTTTTCCCCTTGTCCCTGCCCTCCCTTCACCCGCTTCTCCCCTCCCCATTTAGAAACACTTTATTTCTATTTTTTCATTTTCTTGTATTTTTTTCTTTTCCCTTATTACCTTCCCCCTACCCTTCCCACTTTCCCTACTCTGTTTTAATATTTAGATCTTTAATCCACTTGGATTTTAGTTTAGTGCATGGTGAAAGATAGGGGTCTAGTTTTAATCTTTGGCAGGTTGAAATCCAGTTTTTCTAACACCATTTATTAAAGAGGCTATCTTTCCTCCACTGAGGATGGTCAGCTCCTTTGTCAAAGATGAGGTAGCTGAGTATATCTGGAGTTGTTTTTATGTCTTCCAGTCTGTTCCATTGATCCTCAGGTCTGTTTCTTTGCCAGTACCGTGCTGTTTTTATCACAGTGGCTTTATAGTATAGTTTCAAATTGGGAATTGTTATACCCCCTGTCATGTGTCTGTTGCCTAGGGTGGCTTTTGCTATTCTGGGTCCCTTATGACTCCAAATGAATTTTTGGATTCTTTTTTCTAGTTCTGTGAAATATAGTGTTGGAATTTCAATTGGCATTGCATTGAATCTGTATAGCAGTTTTGGAAGTATGGCCATTT